CCATATGTTGCTCCAGAACTTTTATTGGGTCGAGAATATACTCCGGCGGCTGATATTTATGCTTTTGGTGTTATTATAACAGAAGTATCGATTGGTAAAAGACCTTTTGATGGTTACTCATTTGATTTCGGTCTTGCAATAAAAATTTGCAAAAGCCTTAGGCCAGAATTTGCCAAGGAAACTCTTAATTGTTATATTGAATTAGCTAATCAATGTATGAACTTTGATCCACAAAAACGGCCGGCTGCTGCAAGTGTTAAATCGGAACTTTATAAATGGCAAAAGATTATTATGAAACATCCGATAAAGATCTTGATATAAAAAACGAATTGCTGATGAAATTATAACTCAATGACGAATATTTGTTCAATAAATCATGATACCACGTATACTAGCAAATTGATTGATAGCCGAGAGATAAAAAGTACCTACAGCTTGGACGCACAAGGTATTTATATTTAATACTGCAAATATAATATTTTTTATAAATAACAAGTTACTTATGTTTATTTATTCATCTTTTAGATTCTAATTTTGTTGATCTTATAATTTCCGAAAATGATTTCTAAAATTAAAGTTTTTATTAAATACTGTACAGTATTATATAGAGACGCAAAATCAATAAATTTAAATTGATACAGTATTATTGCTTCATTAAAAATTTTTTCGACACAATTTTTGCTTTGCTTATGAACTTAGCTTTCGGTTTAAAGATTATTTAGGTTTGTTTTAGCTGTGAGACCCAGTCACTTCCATGTCCGCTCTTTACAATCATTAGATTTACATCATCGATCATTAAACAGAATTTTGGAGATTTTATCACAACAATAATAGAAATCAAATTTAACCATATTTAGAAGTAAAATTGAATCAGACGGACATGCAAATGATTTTAACAAAGGTTGGATTAGATATAGAGGGAATAAAGATAAATTAGAAGGCGAACTGGAATCACGATTTATGAGTGCAAAAAATTTATTTTATTGATACATTTCAATTATATAGCTATAAAAAACTACTTATTATCATGCTATTACTATATGATTACTCTATAATAGGTTCTAAAACACACTGCTTGCAAGCATTATTACAACAGGTCATACTAGCTAAATCTATATGCGCAGACGCCATCGCCGGTTAGGCTACCGCCACAATCACATGCAGTACTACAGCAATAGTAATCATAATAAAGAGAAGTAATATTCAAACATGAACATGGTGCACCATCTGGAATACAGGTGCACTTTCCGTTTTGACAAGTTGTACAAGGAACGGACTTAAGATGTAAATTTTAAAAAAAATTAGAAAATAATATTAATATTAATAAATTATAGAAATGAATACATACACTAAGGGTATCATTAGGACATAGATTTCCCGCTTTGCACTGCAAATTCAAATATTAAAGAAACTTAGAAAGTAATGATAATATAATTAAATTATAGAAAAGAATACACACTTTATTTCAACAACTTCCGCAGTTTAAATTGTCAGTTTGAGTGTCTAGACATAGTTGACCGTTGCAAAGTGTCCCATTGTTAGGGCAAGCACATGCACTATTTAGACAGATTAAGCCATCAGGACACTACAAATGTAAATATTTAAAGGAAATTAAAAATATTGCTAATATTATTAAATAATAGAAAGAATACATACAGCAGCTCCACATTTTCCACAATTTGATGTATCAGTCGTAGTATCTACACATTGACTGTTGCAAAGTGTCCCATTGTTAGGGCAAGTACAATTGCTATTTTGACAGATTGAGCTATCAGTACACTACAATTTAAATAAATTAGAAAAAGTAATGATACATAATATTGGGGTTTCAGAATTAACCTATTTCAAAATTAAATGGGTCCTATTCTCTGTTTTAAAATTCTGGATCAGAAAATTAAATAGGCGTTGGTGATATTCTTTTGATAAATACTGTATCTACCGGTAAGCAATTATGTAAATAAGTAAAAATAGGATTTATAGACCATTCATTTTGAAATAAATACAACATATTTTATCTGAAATCGGACGTCAAATCATTAATTCCAAAACCCTCGATATTAAATTATAAAGAATACATACAGCAATTCCACATCCTCCGCAATTTGATTTATCAGTGATAGTGTTTACACATTGATCGCCACAAAGTGTTTTGCCTTTGTTGCAAGTACATACACTACGTTTACAGGTTGAATCATCGGGGCACTGTTAAATTTTATTAATAAAAAAGTTAGGTGAGTTATTTATATTGCCAAAAAAATAAACTTACTTTATTGCCACAAGATCCACAATTTTGTTGGTCACAGGTAGTGTCAACACAGGTATTGTCACATAATTTTTTGTTTTTAGGGCAGACACATTGTCCATTTTTGCAAGTTGAAATACTAGGACACTGTAAAAATGTAGTAAATATTTAAAGTTAAGAAGGTACAATATTATTAACAAGATAAAAAAGCAGACAAATATGTACGGTATTGCCACAAGATCCACAATTTTGTTTGTCATGGGTAGTGTCAACACAGGTATTGTTACATAATTTTTGGTTTTTAAAGCAAACACATTGTCCTTTATTGCAATATGAGCTTAACGGACACTGCAAAAAAAATGTAGTAAATATTTGATGTTAAGAAGATCAATATGTTAATGAGATAAAAAATAGCTGACAGATATATACAGCATTGCCACAAGAACCGCAATTATTCATGTCATATTTGAGATCAACACCATAACAATTAGGTTTCTTATTGTTATTATGACCCTTTCCATGCGCTATGGCTAAATAATAATAAAAACAATGAAAATCTATTACAGGACAGCACTTATAACAATAAGAAAAGAACATTACCACCAAGAACGCAAAGAACAATGATAAAAATTATAAATAATCTAGAATGCATTTTGAAGTTTAGAGTATTAAACAGAATTTAAAAAGCAAATTAAAGTATGATTTAAAGTTGAATTAGAGAAAATATATAATTTAGAGACAAAACATTGTGTAAAGGGGGCGAATAATGATGTAGGAAGAAATTAATATGAAAGGATAATTTAAAGGAGCGGATTAAAGATGAAGTATATTCTTAAAGAGAGAAATGAAAAAAAGAAAATTTTAAAGGAAATGGGAGATACTTTTTGAAAATATTCACTCCCTTATATGGTCTTTCTATTTAGCATAATTATTATTTATTCTTTTCATCATGTATAGATTTATTTGTACTCTAAACCATTGAATCAAGTTCAGGTAACTAATTTACTTTTAGCTACAGACGTTGTATGCAAATGATAGCAATCATTGTACAATGCTAAAATAGATAATACAGTATATGATCATTGCAATTATAATTGCGTGTTACTCTTATTAATTGATACTGTCAGGCCTCCTAAATCAGATGCAACCTCCTTAAATGCACCTCCTAAATGCAGCCATTAATTGATAGGTACGTACGTACTTATGTACTGTACGTACCGGTAATTTACATGTTTCCTAATAAGGCCCACATTGTATTTAACTAAAGAGTTTACCACAGAATTTAGGCATCCAAAATCCCGACACACATGATCCCAATAGTACAGTAGTACATAATCCCGTCAAATTAAAATCCCGAGATTTTTGTAATTTTTTTGGATTTTGCACTATCGGGATTTGAATGTCGAGATTTTGGTTTGGGATTTTGGATTAACTAAAAAGGAAATTGTACTCCAAAATCTTTATTAATAACGTCTATAAATTGTTTGTTTGGCATTTATTTTGAATTTTCTAATTGGTAATTTTATTTTATAATCTTGTCGTATCTTTGCAACTTTAGATATATAAAGTTGATCTGACTAAAATCAAGCCCTGAAACTAGATCTTCTAAATTTTATTAAAAGAAATTATACATAGATGCAAAACACCATACCGTAAAATCTCGAAATAGCGGGCATGGGCGTTATTTCGAAGCTTTGCCCGAATTAAGCTTAATTCGGGCCAAGTTTCGAAATAACGCCCATGCCCGCTATTTCGAGATTTTACGGTAGGTGCGTTTTATAATAATTGACTTTATATATCTAAAGTTGTACCTTCAGATAGATAGTAACTTTAGATACGACATTCTTATACGTAGTTATTTACTAAAAAGGAAATCGCCCATCAAAATCGAATACATATCACAGTTCTATGTCAAATAACTTAACCTTTCTTCAATTACATACATACGTGCGTGCATAGTGCGTTGGGCGTCCAATACACCAATTAATCAAAACTATGTCAGGTATTGTAGTAAATTCACTAGCGAAGACTAGTATCCAAAAATTGACATCTCACGCACAAACTATAATTTTTCAAGAATTTTTGTATCAATCGATTAATATTATATAATATAACAAAAAGAAGTTACAGTTTAAGATTTTTAATTATTTAAATATTTTTAAATATTGAACTAGTAAGAACTTCCGGTGATATATATTCAAGCTAAGAATCTACATTGTAAAAGAAAAATTTTAAACTGTAACTTTTTCTAAAATATTAAACCTAATCGTTTTGTGTATAAAATTGCTAGAGAAAAATAGTTGGCACGCGAGACGAATCAATTTTTAGAATACTAGACACCACTAGAATAAATTTAACGATTTTGCCGATCTATACAAAAAATCTGCACTACTAGATTTTTACTATAATACCTGATTATTAGTATATTGGAAGCCCAATTGTGCGTGCATATTGCATTAATTGATAATTAATTTTGTGCCTAAACGTGCATCGAATTAAAATTAATTACTAACAACGCAAAAGTTACGTTTTTGGTAGATCTGCGGTTACTTTTTTGGTAGGTCTGATTTACCCCCTAAATTGAGGTGGC